TAGATTCGATACAAGCTATAAGCAATACAATGTTAAAAGTATGGCCAACTTCATCGAACGAACTTTGGCGAAGTATCACCAGTGCACATGTGGTACGATTGAAAGCGTAATCGACCATTTTGGTCTGGACCTTTTCGCTTTGTCCAGACAAGGCATCCTTAGGAAAATCGAAAGACATTATTTAGACCTTTATTTATATGATGAACGATGGTCAGAATTATACTCGTAAGTGGATAGATATCACAATGCACCGGATACGCTGGCACGACGAGCAGCGTTTGAAAGCGGACCGTTGCGATCAGTTTTTGATTCAGATGAAATTTCTTAACCTACGACGTGGATAACTAAACTCATCTTCTTTTTATGCTTAACTAAACGATAACGGTTTAGACTAAATAATTTCCTCTACGAAACCTGCATCAATTGGTAATAACGGTGTTCCTCTTCCCTGCCGTCGACCTTTTATCTAGCCGACAACCTGTAAATTTCGTGACCTTCCTTTAGGAGGCAGACGATATAAAAAATCAGTGCACGGACGCCAAGCACTGTAAATGTTTGCGGCAGCAACAACCGGCCACTGCTTCATATCACGAGCAAGGTAGGAGATATTCCTACCTCGTCTTCTCTGGAAAAGAATTCGTACTTTCAATAAGATAGGTCTGGAGTGCGAAAATCGTCGGCACGAGCTTCGATTAGAAGTGGTCCGCGTTCGTGGTTGTCGTAACACGTTATCAGGTCTTTGCATGTCCCTGTATGTTTGCAAATATGGACGGAGCGGCCTCAGTTGCGGCTCTTGACCACCGCTGCTACTCAGAATGCACCTATGTAAAATCTTCAGCATACCTAGAGTGGGACGACGCATGAGTCGGGCCATTGTTTTTTTTTCTCTTCAAAGTGCTCGTCGAAACAACTACTATTACGAGATCTATTGCGCACGCGTATGTACCTCTTTTTTATTCCGTACATATACGTTCACTCATGTATGTATGTATGCACTTCTTTCTAACAAGTACCACCTGCGAGAACTGCATGTAAAATATAATTCATTTTAGCGAATCAGTATCTATAGCAATGTTCATGTTGTCATCACATACTTTGTCTATTATATTGATGCATGGTGACAAACCTGATGATTACGATCTAAAGAAAGGGCATATTCAACGAAAGCTATGGTAAGTAATACATTAATTTTACGTAAACAGAACCGCAAAGGTCCCAGCTAGAACAGTTGAAAGGAACTCGGTGCTTGCACCAGTGAGGATTACATCTGGTTATAATTTAACTCAAAAATATCGTCCGGTGTAATTAGACGTAGCCGACAAGCTTAAACAGCAACGGGTCGCTGTATGAAAGAGCGACGCTTCGTGGCTGATACAGATCACGTGCTCAGAGTGGTACTAGTTATCCGTTGTTACCTCCGTTCACTGAAAATAATGGCCCGCATTACAAAAGTTTTGGAAACTAAACGTACTTTTTTACTGCGGCTCAGTGATTCATTGATCAGTTATCACTAGTAAACATACTATAGCAAGCATAGCTAGGCAATCGATACCCGAAAGGCTTGGTTGGAGAGCTGCTGTTGCAACCGACATGGCGCTGGATAGTTTCAAATAGATCCAAACGGTTCACGTTTAGGGGGGTAAGTGTCTGCTCCACTCAGGGCTAACTGCTTAGCTTTTGTACCATCCACAACACTGACCAGTTTCTTTTATGTCTGACAGACGCTACGCTTCGTCAAAGAGCGTGTGCTTCTAGCAGGACCGCAAAGATATCAAAGTGACGCGATACGATAATCTCTATGTCGCTAACGTGAACGTAGCAGAAGGGACGATACGGTAGCAAACACTTGGCGCGCCGCAGAAATCATCATTAAACTGGGCTTTATACATAATCTTTTTCTTAATGAAGCTGTCATATGAGTTTGCTGAAAAACATCAAAATGGCCATAAGAAATAGTCGAAAGGATACATCAAAGGTTTAGCTTAAGGATCGACTCTGACTTATTTCGAAAGTGGCAGCATCAGTGGTTGACATGAATCCTACGTATCCTACGAATGAATATCTACGTAATAAATATGATAAATTGGGTTCATGTTGTAACGAGCAGTACTATCCAAATACAGTATTCGCTACCATTTGTCTCTAAGCATTCGGGCTCATTTACTGACTCCTCTGTTTTTTTACCGGCGGCTATTCAATATGACTTTGTTACTTCGCCGACGATTAACAATAATCAAGTAAAGAGGAAAAAAATGGATTTGGCGTACTATCGTCTATAGCTTGATAAACTGTTGAGATGTCCATGTTTTACATTAGCGATTCACTAGACGTCTTTACGCCAGCGAGTGTCACACAAATGTTACCCGGTACATAATCTAGCGACTTTTTTTTTTAAGTGCCCACAGATTTGTAGCTGCAGAGGCGCGATATTTACTCCAATGAATGATACTGTCTAATTGACGATCACCGACATCCCGTGAGCCGAAGTTCATTTGTTTAGCTTAGAAATCGATATTCGACAAAATAGAAAACATAGTTAAGAAAATTTTAGAAAGTTCACATGATAGGGGTAACGTTTTGCTTGTTAAACTTAGGATCGCATGCTTGGAGGGGTAGGTCCAACCCTTCCAAATAAGCCCATTTCCGTTTCGTCGGGGGAGTCAGCCGTCTGAAGGAATACTTAACGGCTCAAGTACCGATTATAAAACATGAAAAACACAGCGTTTTGAGTTCACGCCATTACATCGACTTCAACTATTCTATACAGCTTGAAAAAATGCATGCTCTTATACAAATTTAGAGAAAGACATTAATAAAGAAAATGCGCTTTTGCACTTTCCTTATATTTTTTATTATTTATTTATTATTATAGAAAAAATGCATTTTAAAAATTGTTTTTGACCTAGATTCTTCTTGTTCTTTCAAAGCTTGACTTTAGTGGCCTTGAAAATCCCTTTTTAGAACACATTTGCATAGACAAGTTGCTCGTGAAATAAACTCAATCTTCAAAGTCCACAATGATCACAGACCTGATTTTCATTAGTTTCGAAATCACCCGACAGTTGCGAGTAACGCTAAACTGATCTTTTGCAGGTCACTGGATGTCCTCGTGAGAATCGTACAAAGCTAAATGTGTCTATTCGAAGAAAATGCGGTTAATTCAGCTCCAGCTTCAAAGCCCCGGAAATCAACGCGACTTCGTTTCTTTTCAACCAAAATTTCAAAACAAGTAGAAATCTTTTCTCCTCAACCTGTCATTCGCCGGAAGATTAAATTCGATGGGAATCGGTGAACCCCTCCTTACGGATTAACGTGAAGCTATTGACCCTAAACTACGTTTCGTTTCGATGTGACTGCTGCTAGCTTTAGCCGAACAGGAAAAGTCACTTCAGCGTACCATAACGCCTCAAAAACCGCAGCCGGTGGAAGGCAGTGTGGCTGTATATGCTGCGATCGAACCTGTACTAAGAAAGGCGCTTCTATGGTTCCCCAGTCGTCATCCATACTACAGTGCGTATCTCTCCACCCAATGAATCAATTGATACTCGTTGATAATTTCGCTGGTCCTTATATAATGCAGCTGAGGAAGGTGATCCCAATGACAGAGTGGTGCGTCAAGGGTTTTAAAATTGGTAAAAGACAAAACAAAGAATGTTCGACCTTTCCTCGAGCGATACCAAAGGCACTGGACGGCCCGAACCTATTCAAAGAAGGACACCGATGACGATGAGTCCCCCAATTTGGCCTAGTACGATGACGTACAGCGGAAGCGAGCGAGCGAGCGAGAGAGAGAAAGGGATTCAAAAAGTTACTGTTATCGACAATATTTTGCAACGTGAACTGCGACAAAATATCCGTATACGTGTATTCAATGAAGCATATCAGATGCAATTTACTAATATCTATCAGAACATGTTTCGTTTGTGCGCGTACGATCGCATTTTATAGCTGGAGTTTCGGTGGAATACTTTGGGAACCTATGTTCTATTGTGGTAGAGCCACGAAATCAGTTATCACATATTGAATGATGGTGTAGTTGACGATGTGTAACAAATTTGTATTTTGTGCCCTCCGGTCGAAAACCGCAAAAAAAGACGGTACTCCTAAGAGAAGATCTCTTGTACACTTAAGCGAGCACTTGTTACATTATTACTTCGATATGCGTATGAACGGAAACTTCGCCATAAATTTCTGTCATGAGACTTGTGATATTCTGTTTATCTAGTTCTCTTGAGAGTTCAAATAACTTGTCAACAGATTACATAAACTTAACAGCTCTGTTATTTGGCCTAACCCATACATACTGGTCACGTCAATTATCTTGGCGTGATACTGACCCTGCATAAACCGCTTGGAAAGTTACTTAATACTCTATATTGCCATCGTAAAGCATGAATGTTGTCTTTACGACCGCTAATGACAGTGCACACAGAAATTCGCGTTTATTTAATAAAATTTTGAATTATATGTTATAATAACCCGCGTGGACAGCTATATATATATATATATATATATATATATATATATATATATATATATATATGAGGCGAATATATAGATGAGTCATTCCAAATGAGCGCAATGATCTTATCACACAGATTTGAATAGGAATACGTATTCAATTAGTAACACCGCATCTGTCCCCATGCATAGTGCAAGTTACGATGGTGGGATATATATATATATATATATATATATATATAACACTTTTTTCTGCACTTATAATACAGAAATTGAACGATTTAAAAAACTGCGTTCTTAAAGTAGTACTGAAAATAGTAATAATTACTATTATTAATTGTAAAATTCCCGTTAACTATGCCATTAATCCGGTAACGTCGTTTGGTAAGGAGTCAGCTTCTTGGCCCAACTCTATGTTCAATATCATACGAGAGCGGGCAATAAGTTTGTTGCTCAACCGTGTGTTCTAAAAATTCGCGTACTAAAACATATTGGCTGATTAAGCTCTTCTTAAAATTCATGTGAAACAATGTTTTTACCTTGTGAAGATGTTGTCCACGCTATTCTCCTTTCCATTGTAGTTCGATCACGCTGGTAGCCGCCCACTCCAGCTCAGTAAGACGCGAGACGGCATAGTAGTTGTTTAAGATATCACATCCTCCAATAGTCCTCCAGCTTAATTTCTTTTTCCAAAGGAAGTTAAATAACTCACTTCAAATTTGTTTCGTATGCTTTTCTATATCTAGCAGTACCTCTGTGTCTTTTGCATTCACTATTGCTTGACTGATTGTATGAAAAAAAGTTAACTCGATATTTATTATTTGGTGCGTGATGCCACTACAGTCAATAGCGTCAGATCGATTCCTCACTCAATCCAATACACGGATATTCATACGGAACGGACATACCTGCAGTGTTTGATTAGCTTACATTTACAATTGGCAATCTTTCTTCCGATTCGCCGACGATGACAACGACAGTAGCCATCTGTGATACTCAATTCTCTGTGCGCTTCGTTTCTGTCATATTTTTCACTTCGATCTGCTTCTAGCGCACTCCTGATCAACGCGCAGCCCAAGACTGCAAATACATCTCAAAAAATTCTGCTAACATTGTACGATTATGTTACGGCAACTTCGCTCGTTGAAGGCATCAACGGTACACAATAGCACGGAGATGATCACGTGTACGGCCGCTTCGCGCTGAGCCTCACACGGAGTCCGCGCCGCTCGCCAGCATGCCGTACTCTGAGCACGTTGAGTTTGACTACTCCATCTGGATCAAACCCGCCACCTTTGGCGATTTCGGCGCCATCTGGTGTTTGTAGCAGGAGAACCATTTGGGCGCAAAAATTCAAATCAACGTCAAAATCGAGCCTACGTTGAATTTGGCACTTGCGCGCTTGATTATCGCAGAGAGGGCCGGCCGTTGGAGCGCGTTCACTGCTGCGATCCTGTACGATGACAACGCGATTCTTGACTTACAACTCGTCCAACGCTGTCAAGAGCGAAATGCTACGGTTTTTCTATACTGGGCTAGCATTGCATACTGACTGCAGAATGCTAATACTGGTTGTTTGGTTTCAATTAAATCTGTGTATGTGTAATTTCCCATATTTATGTTAAAAATCTTGGCAACAGCTTTCGTTAAACGCTTAAAGTCAACTGCTGAAAGACCTTTAGTTTCTCGGCATAGGCCATAATCCTATGCCTTGGGAAAAACAATGTTCAAATATTATTTGGTAGTCAGACCTTTTGCGAACTGAATGCACATCGCAATCCCGTGACTGGAGTAAAAAAGTAAATAAATGAATATACTGCTAGATGTTTATTTTCAAAATCACAACAGACACATGTCATGCCTCTAGAAAAACATTTGACAACATTTATTAGCATGCAAAAATTATACGAGTAATGTTGGATGCCCCAATGATTATACCTGCAGTTTCGATTTTTTTGCCATACGGTAAAATAAATCTACTGACGATTAAGTAATAACAAGAATACAACCATATTTTTTTCGACTGAGCTGTACAGTGATAATATTATCTACACACTTATGTCGAAGATGAAATTCATAAACGAACAGCAGTTTCAAGTGTACAACCGTCGTCGAGCATAGACAAATAAAAAGCTCAAGTTCGTCACCAGTTGCGAAATGGTAATAGCCCTAAAATTCCCCAACTCGTCTTAGATTCATAAAAGCCTTGTTTTCCAATACAAACCCATGAGGTCGATCTCTGTATCTGTCTCTCTGTACAATCGCCTAAGCGCCGGGTATGCGGCGTCACTCCATGGTCCCGAGTCCACTTCTTTTCGTCACCTGACTTTCTCCGGACCGTCCTTGGCCGACGTTTTTTGCTGTCAACAATGCCCTTGTTTGCCCCTTTGGGCACCCCTCTCGCGGCTTTCTTCATCCTGTTCCATTTCATCGACTGCGACTTTTTTCCCGCTCACAATCAACTAGTTCTCGCGCCAACGAATACTTGCCTCTTGCCACCATCCTCACCAGCTCTATTCGTTTGTAGATGTGCGTATGGTAATGCTTACCCTGGCGTTAGCAGCTCGATCGCTGCTTTGACTTGAATAACAGCGGTAATCATGCCAGCAACATCAGCGACAGTGGCCGTGATGACCGTTGATAATTGTCCTAATTTAGCTGTGGCTGTGTAGTTACGATGTCGGTATTGTCCCAGCTACATGAACTGGCTTGTCCTACGATCCTTTTAATTCACCGGCTATAGTCAACCGCCGTCGCCTTGGCTCCGTTCCTCTGGAGCGTAGAGGGCGCCCCAGTCGGCCCTCCTTACGAGAGGAAGCTGCTCGCTTAGTGCTGTCTGTGTCCGCCTCCGATCTCCCTCAATGCCTGTGGCACAAACTGAACTGCGTGGCCGTCTATCGGGTACTCGTGGCGAACGCGGCGTTAAGCACTGCCCGTAGCGAACGACCTGCAGCGAATTAGCCACTGTTCACCGCCTGCATACCCCTAGAGCGTGGCAGGAACATTACATGCTGCCGTCAACCGTTGTCCCGTCAATATTCCCTTGTGCGTGTGCTGTAGCGAGCAGTAAACGCTAGAAGGTGAGTACCACTGCTAAGTCTGCTGCAGTCGAACGGAGGGATAAAAGCAGCAGGAACAAGTGAGCGACCGGGTAAGCTAAGCCAGTGAGCGTTTTAGGGAGAAAGCAAAACAGATCCAGCCAACGTGTGGTCGATGGGGATGATTTCTGACTGGGCAGTCTATTTGTCTATGTCGCCGTGGGTTTTGGTGAATGTTTCTGTGTTCATAGGGAGAATCGGCCCCGAGGCAGGTCTCAAAGTCCTGATCTAGGGTCCGATTCGGCGGATCTTTGTCTTGAAGCAAAAGGATTGATAAGTTTACTTATCAGTGCATCATGTTATTGCTTTGTATGGCGTTAATCATCAAATCGCGGGAGTGTACGGAGCCGCAGCGCTGTGTGTTCGCTAATGGTAAGAAGCGCTGACCGCGCTGTTTTGCAAAAACCGTTACTGTGATCTGGGGACTGTGTTAGTGCACTACGACCTGTACATTAGACATGTGGATTTGATACTTCTCAGGGCAGTCAGCAGTCGTTGGGGTGGATATTATTGACGTTATGCGTGATCTGTGAACTCAGTTGGTCAATCGTGTGTGAGAAGACTCGTGTACCTTTGTGCCTGCTCGGCGTGATTTGACATGCTAGAATAGGTCGCGTTGTTATCGTACACGAGCGAAGTGAGTGTTTCGTGGGGTGTGTTTGTCTTCATGGGGCCAATAAATAGCAACAAGTCTGACTGAGTTTTAATCATAATATCATTTTCATAGTTGCGATGTCGAAGTGTGGCACCGATCCATTGAATCAACCAAATATACGGCATCTTCCTTTGCTCGCCAGTATTACACAAAAGAAATATCTGCGTTGATGTTTCTCTCTCTTCGCTCAATCATACCAACTAAGAGCGAGCCTTTGGTTGAAAGAAAACGAAATTTTACATGCAGATAGGAACGAACAGCATCAGGCCATCCGGCAGAATGGTCGTTCTATCGACAATTCTCTGTTAAAATGCATTCGATACAGAAGGCCACTCGACCTAACCGTTTCCGCTGGTAAAGCACGCTACGCTGATCCGAAGGGTGCAGTAAGAAACGTGTGCGACACTTGCAAGTACCCCGAGAACGTACAAGGTAAGGCAACCTCTTTGAATACAAATAGCGGTTGTATTATGAGCAACTGACATGTTCTTCAAAGAAACGTTCTTCATTAATTCCAAATCCATTTCAGCGACCAATCATAGCTAAGAGAAGCAAGAAAATCTCATCAAACTGCGCGAACTAAAAAGTCTTGATTCTAGTTTCATTTTAACGGAACCACTTCATTGTAGTGGTGAGTTGTGCAAGCTCGACGATACACTTTTACGCGAGTTGTGTACGAATGAAGCCAAGATTCAGAAACAGTGTCGAACGTTTTCCTTATTGGGCAATCCTTGGGTTTGCCGCGCAGCTCTCGAGGATTTTCTCGGCAGGTAGAATGCAACCAAAAAGCGTATTGTCCAGCCACTTTCGCTCACTGTTGACTTTTCTAGTAGACGCCACTCGGTAGCCATGGGATGACGTCAACGTCAGTATGAACTGACGATCGCAGTTGTCCGCATGTTGCGCAACATCCGTTTGCACCGAAAGCAGCTACCGAAACCTGCCAGCTCGCCGACTGTGCGACCCGATCTCTGCCTCGCGGAACAAACCCAACCGTGCCGTATAACAGAAAGCCGACGCAAGTAAAATGGCCTTACGTTCTCTGCCGTAGATGTATCCGTATGAGTATTTCGGTGCAGTAGTGACCATTGGACGACGGGTCTCAACAAATGTGCCCTAATGTGACGTTCACTGTGGCTTTGTAGGTGTCTCGTGCATTCCGTGGTCGTGATTAAAGTGATGTAAGAACGTTTGTACCACTAACAGGTATTAGTCAAATATATTCGGGCTATACGGAGCCAACCTCCCATTTCATTCAATAGTTCCGTCATTTATTAATACAAACGAAATGAATCGTAAGAGCAATTGATACTGAATATCAAAAGGTCAGGCTATGTCATTCATACTCAAAATAGCGTGAATAGTATCTTTTACGAGGCACGCAGAATTGTGCGGTGGATTTGGTTAACCAAAACCAATGACCCAGTCCATAAAAATGGCCGTCAAACTTGAAAGAGTGTCTCATTTTCAATCCAACTCAGATCCCGCCCAAGCGTTTATAAAACTGGGCCTTTGCAGGAGTGGTCGCATTACATCATCATTGAACAGGATTACATTCGAATAAGCTCACCTGGTGATATATGGGTAAATAGCACGGCCAAGTAATTCTACTTAACCTTTGTCCTATCACTAATGGGAAGTCATTTAGATCGTTTAGAAAAACCCGATTGACAGATGTAAGACATCGCTCTCTGCTACTGAGGTACTGGTGTGGCTGCCTGTTTTTTAATGGGGCTGATATACTTATTCCGTACAGACAAAATTGTATTGTATATGTCTACTTAGGTCTGTATATATATATATAGCAGATGGCATATGATCTACTGAAGCGCTGGAGGAAAAAGTCGATCGTTACGGGTGTGCGGACCAGATCGAGAGGTTCAAATTAAAGAATCATATGCAAAGCAGCCAAAGATGAAATTACACATGTCTCTAAATAGTGTTCTGAACGAATTAACGAAAACTTGTAAGAAACGAAACTGAAGCATTTCTGAAATGAAATTATGTTAAATGTATAATAAGAAAGTCCTTTTCAGGGGTTTCCTATCGAAGCAATAAAAGAAGTCTGCAACAAGCGAAAATAGATGAACGTTTGTCGTACTTCATACTACATAAGTTCAACTTCTATTTTCCGCCCTCTAGCCACAGATCTTTTCAAATCTGGATCGTATCTTAATTTTCTGACCTCATTCACGTTTTTGAACGTTTCGATCCGAACCAAATTATGTATATTTCAATAGAACAGTTACATTTTTCGTTGGCATCGCTGCAACGCGTATTTTTCAACCTCAACTAATATCTAGAAAAAAAAAAAGGAGATGCTTTGGTGTTATACGTGCCGAAGGAACTCGATCCTTCCGTAAATGTTTACAGCGAGACACGTCCTTCATATTTGGCTTCCTTTCTAATCATTCAGACCTTACCGTTTCGCCATCGAAGCTCACAATTCGAAGCGGACGTGCGCAATTAATATGTTTTTTTTTTTCAATCGAATATTTTTTGGTGAACCCGTAGCATATTTGTAGATATAGAACGATTTACTGACAAGAAATAAGCTTGATCCAGTCTCGTACATCAAGCCAAACGATTAGTTCTAGAATACTTATCGAAATTTAAGCCGGTCCTGCTGTGCAGCCGAAAAACACTGATTTTCTGTCGGCAAGACATCCCCTAGTGAGATTTATTCTTTGTACGAATAAATAGGGCACGATAATGGAGTTTACGTTTGCGTACGATGAAAATATCGGCTGATATTATCTGGTTATCTTTACGAAATTCAAAAGGTGCATTTAGCTAGAATAAAGCTGCCGCAGAAGCCCCGCTTGTCGGCGTGGTGGTTCGCCTTCGTCCGTGGCCGTCGCTAATTCCTGTATTGAGTTAGGTGCCCGGGTACGACTGAAAGCTGCTATGACGCAGAAGAAGTTGTTCGCGCTCAGAGTAGCAGTTTCGGATCTACAAAGGCGTTGCGAGTATAACATAGAAGGCAGCATCAACGTCGTGTCTGTCTGTCTGTCTGTCTCTAGTTTATTTGAAATTCGACCAAATATCGAAAACCGGGTTGAAAAATGAAAAAGAGGCGAAAACGCATTACGTATGTAAGTTGGGTCCACGTTTCATAACTTTGCCATCTAGAGTACATGGACGATTCTAAACGCTCTACTAATTTTTCTCTCACTAAAGCTGAATGCTGCCATGGGTGCGTTGGCATGAGAAGCAATTTGCCGCTCGTGACGACTGACTTCTGAAATCATTGAATAAGTATAGCTCGACCACGACGACGCGACAGTCAGACAGAAAAACATGATTTTCAGATGTTTTCATGGTAAGCTATCAGATTGACTGGCACGAGCGACTTAGTAGCGTCTACCTAGAGTCAATATTAGCTCGGCAAACATTGGATCTGTTGACTTGGTAAGTTTTGTTTATATTATCGTTGTCGTCTGTTTTCATTTTGTCAAGCCAGCCGTCCATCTGACCTTAAGTTGCTTGTTTCGCATGAAGCTATTCATTACATACTAGCTGCTTGTTGTCGTGATCTATGTAAAGATACGGCGCATGAACATTTGTTGACAACAACACGAGCGATAACCAGTTTCTCAGGCCAATAGAAACTGGCAGAGACGACTTAAGGTTCATATAAGCCTATCAATTTCCGATTATATTCTTTCTTGTTGTTGCTCGAAGAATCACAGCTCGGCAGCTTGTGGAACTGTGTTAAAATATTCAGATTTAGCAGAAAAGATTGATTTGTTTAGAATTGTTTCTAACCGCAGGCCCGCTAAATTGATCTAACAGCAATAAAAGCAAATAATTGGGGTAGACATGTAATCTCCCTACTTTTATAGTATCTATAAAACGTCAAGCCTAAGAATAGTTTTACCCCAGCTATATTGTTATACCGCTGATGCTAAACTGTTACCTAAAATGATCTACCAGATGAAAACGGAAAACGACTCGATTCACTACTACCGCTACCAGCTGTACTTAAAAATGTAAAAAAAAATTTGAACACACAATCTGCGCCTAGTTGTTGCTTCTCTATCGCCGCGATGGCATAATGGGTAACGTACTTGCCTGTTAATCTTAAGGATACGTTGTGGCCTCGAGCATAGACAAACAGACTTCGTTTGATGCCGGAAGCCAGTCGTCCTCGAATGCCTACCCGTGACACCGAATGTAAAGCTCGAGATGTAGAAACCTTATTTCCATGTGTTCATTTGCCGACAAAATATCAAGCAGGGTGCTACCTTAAGGAAGCCATGGTAACAGTTGGTTATGGAACTATATTCCCGACAGCTTTATTTAGCGACCTCCCCATTATGTGCCATAGTCAGAAAGCCGCTAGTAATATCGGCGTCCTTCTGTATCATACCGTTTCATTTTTTTCGACTGATTTCATTTTGAATATACATATAGAGGTGATTACCACGAATCTATCTACCCATTGAAGTTAATTCTGATCAATATATTGTCAAGTTATTATTTACTACAGAGAAAACAGCACAACAGAAAACTGGGCACTAGTCGATGTTGTTACTAAGAGTCGATCACTTCGATGATTATATTTTTGAACAACAAAGACGGACAATTCGGCGAACGTCAGCAGTGACGTCAACTCGGCAGCTTGCGATTAAGCATATTGATTTGTTTAATATCGGTGACCCTTTGCTAGTTTTGCTTAACAAGTGTTTTGGTGTCAACTGGCATTGTCGCTGTTAAAAGAATGAAATTTTGATAAAATAAACGCAGACGTTAAAAGCGTACGAAAAAAAAATTCATCCCAATATTTGTGGTATTCGTATACATTTTTATGTAATTGAACAAATCCATATCGTACTTATTTTTCTCTTTACAAACAAAGCTAGCAAATTGGTTCATTGTTGGGAGTGATTTCGTCAGTTCTAAAACGAACAAAGAAATACCGGTTCCTCATGCTTAAAAAAAAGTAGCGAAAAAGTCTCTCTAGTTGAGTTAAACAACTTTCCTAGTATATATATAGGAAAACTTCTTAAAGATACCTTGGAATCGCTATTGCATTAATTTCAGTTAAGATATATGGTTGGCGGGTTCAAACAGTGGTACCAGGTCAAGCCACCTGGTGAGAGTAAAAAAAAAGTTATTATTTGGATTTATTATATCATGGAGGATGTCAAACATCGACCGTAAAGGCTGTGATTGTAAGATCATTTCGTTCTAGTCTTGAATGAAGTTTCCGCTCGGCTCAGTAGGGTTTTCACTTATTGTAACTAACATTGCTCAAACAGGACGGTCCGTTCCACTTTGCCGGATATAAGCTTCTGTACTCATTAGCTTTGCAGATAGAACAAAATTAAACGTTAGATTAAGATCTAGATATACATATATATATTTTTTTCAGAAAGCCTTCCCATAACATACAAGCAACTTGCGCATTTAAAATTCCAACGCTCGTATTCTTCGAGACGCTCGTTTTAGTAGGTTTTGAACCTATTTTGAAGCTAGGTTCCCTTAGATCAGTTAATATGTATGTATAATTAAAATACACCTATAGACCGTGAGTGGGGGCGCGTCTTAGGTTAAAGAATTCAAGTTTTTTCAAATATTTTTGAAAATATTGACAACGAAGTCGGCCTTTTTCTTGAAAACACTGCCCATATCAACCTGTCAGGAGCAGACGCTAGGTGATTCGTAACATACATGAACAACAACAAAACATATGACAGTTTATTTGTTTTAATCGAAAATAATAATAAAAACTTAGTTTATTGATCGCTTACACTGTCATGTGAAAGATTTGCTTTTAAACAAACAGATATAGGTATAAGGTTACGGTACTCATCATATTTCGGCCTTTATGAAAACTTCATGTAACGAATATAGTTAATGTGATAAGTTCAAGATCAATCCAATCGTAAGTCACTACGCCTACTATTTACATTGATTCTGTAAATATACTGGTCGAATTGTTAAAAAGATAAGGAATACATTTCAAATACCATACTGCTTCCGTGATATAGAATGTCAGGCAATAAAAAAGCAATATCTTGGCAATAAAAATGCTCAATCTTTTTGCCGCGAAGCTTCCATTATTTGCACTCTCAAGGGGCAAATTTTAAGTGATTTAGGCATACGTAATCCAGTTAGCTTATGTTGCAGCGCGAACGAGCTTTCATAATAATGACAACAATAATATAATAGTAACAATAACAGTTGCTCTTTCTGCTAATTTCAGATGAACCCTGTGGGACATCAGACCCTCCCTATTATGCCTAGAACCAGTGGCCATATGCCTAGAAGTCAAAGTTCGAGAGGTCAGTCAGGGCTCGGTGTAGTGACCGGCGTAAATTTTGGAGTTGGAATGGCTCAGCACTCTACTAAGAGATCCCAACACCAACACGCTAAGCATTTCATTACGCAGACGACAAAAGGTAGCTTCACGTCATACACAGCCAGTAGAGTCAATGACCTTCCTGCAGAAATTCTGCGCGATCGGTAAGTTCATAGTTGATGCGAGCCCACGGTTGTTTTTCATACATTCACTTTATAAGTCACTAAACAAACACAATTGCTCACGAGCCCTACACACAATCTATATTGGCAAAAAATACATGCCGTAATGTCAAAAAAACAGCATTCATTATTAAACGTCTATTACATAAGGAGAAGATTCGCATTTAACTTATCGGACCGAAACCGATCACATCCCGCGTACGATGTTGCACCTGTACCTTAAAGCACCGTTATAGCTACATGGCACGTGAGATTGACCGCTTATATTACAGAAACGAAAATGGCTATTTCAAGCGTAAGAAACCTCTATTTGTTGAGAATGTTCCTTAATTTTAATCCTTAATTCCTTAAGCTTGAAGACCTAAACATACCCTTTCCGTTGTAATTATTTTATACAAATTTTAAAACTCTAAATAAATATCGAAATCAGATTCGCACTATGGCGAAACTTAATTAATAGTAATATATTCTGCCTAGATCTCATTATTAACGTGACTCAAAGTTCGTTTTAGGACTTCTATAAAGCAACCATATACGTATATGGTTGCTTTATAGTTTATATATATAATTATGCTTCGTAAATAAGGATCTTGTACTCCAGTTAAATTGGCTATGGCTATCGCTATCGCATAAATGTTGTGTGGTCAGGCTAGCAATTCAACAACTAGACAAGAAAATGATAGACCGCTACACGTATTGACCTCTGCTTTTCGAAATCAATATTGTATTGTTTATACCTTTTAATGATAGCCAATGCCTCGTTTTGATTGTCATGTTAACAGCGTTTGCTTAAGTTTGTCTGTGGACGAATACAAATTGAGGCACTCCCATTTCCAGTCCTTCTGTTAACTTCTAAGAAACTGACATGGGCAACTAAGTTGCCGCGCTGTCTTCACAGAACAAATAATGAGTAACAAAAAAATGGTACATTATAATATTTAACGCTAATATTATACTATGTATATACATATATATAATTATGCTAATAATTATATTAAATAATACAACGAGAAATTAAGCCCTGTGTTTGTTTTGTATGCCCTTTTCGATCTGCTTAGATTGGTTCAAACATCCGCCCATGAAGACCACCGGCGACGGACAATCATCATTGAGCGAGATCAGTCTCAAGGAGGCTCATTCGGATTTACGTTGCAAACGTATGGCATTCGGCACCGGGAAGTGTCGGAAATCGAATTGATCACGTATGTTGACTCTGTAGAACCGTACGGATCAGCCGCTAGAGCAGGTAACGTCAGGAAGAACTTGATCTTTGCTCCCAATAACATCGTTGTTTGAAATCGTCGAAGAGATAATTTTTTTAGCATTTTGACGATATTTTTTGAATTATTTTGTTATTAGATGATAATCTGTTTCGGTTATACGAAATTATCATGAGGTGTCTCAGTACATGCGTTGCAATTACTTAGCCTGAAATTGCGTCTTGAGCAGCTTTTCGTATATCCTTGGCGCGGTTTAAAGTAATTATCATAGTGCTATTCGCGCCTATCTGCCGTGATTTGATCAGTTCGTCATGGGCGTTTACAGAAGCTTTTTACATGTTCATGCCAGACACACAAAGGCCATTGTGCTTGTCGGAGGGGCGGAGTTGTACAATCCATTTGTTTCCTACCCATATAGAGTAGATTACAGATCAGTCCATTGATGATGACAATGGCAACAGCTGAGTTTTTATGTAGACATCACCAGACAAACGCTTGCTTTCTAAAATATCATCGTGCATACATCTTGCATAAACGTATAAAAAACAAGCCGAAGAACGACACAACCTGTAAACAGCAACCATTTGGAAAACATCTAGAGACGCCGAAAACAGCTGACATTTCGTTACGGTGACGACAACGAATTGACAGAACCGAGGCCGCGAGCGTCTAGTGGGCAATGGCAGGGTGGTCGACGATTGATTTTTTATTGTCACCGAGTCTCAGATCGCCACTATGTTTGCCTCACTGATTGACAGTCGATGCTTCTTTGCGATTGTTTGTGTGTCCCACTCGCAAATTGTAAGTCGAATTGAACTAAGTGTAGGCCATGGCCTGCAAGTGTTGAGCCAACAAAAAGGGTGAAGCCTTCTAACTCGAATACTCTTCTTTAACTTTGCACAAGGTGGAACAGAAGCCCTTGAACCTTTCAAAGGCATTCGTTCGGGCCCAAGATCGCATTGAGTTAGGCATACAGACATGTATGAACTAATGATTACTCAGACACCATGTTTACGGTAAACATTTTTGACTGAGCAGTGCTTGTTATATTTCATAGACTGAGAATTTGCCAGCAGCTGTTACTTGCCGCACATCGCATTGAGGCTTACGGCCACTGCAAGCGTCATTACCGCAATTTGATATCCAGATCGATTATGTATACCAGCAGAACATAACCCTTTCATTTACCTTATAAACAAAAATAGTGTGTATATTATCCGGTCTGTCAAATCTTAGTATAGAATATAAACAAAATTCTAGATACTCGGCTATCGGAACGCGATCACTGCAAGACAAACACCACATCATAAATTAGCTAATCGTGCTCATAATTCTACCTCAATTTTACTGAAAATTCATGTGTTGTATCGGAGTGTACGTTTGTCAGAAATAGTTCAAACAAACAAACTCATGTAAAGGGTTTATTTCTGACGACTGAAAAACTATAACAATACAGATAGCATAGCGTCGTCGTAAGCTTGTTTAGAAACGCGCGGGCAGATTTAGTAATGGGCAGGTACTTATAATATGACTACCTGTTATATATAATGGCTAATATATTAGCTAGTCTCAGCGCACTGTTTAGCTCGTTTGCCGTAGCTGACGCTTGGTCTAGGCTATGGTAATGTTTTTCTAAATAATGATCTTGTATGCAATAGGTACATCACGTAAATCAGCGATATGAGTGACCCAGCCTTGAGGTTGCTTCCTGTTTGTAATAGCTCTCAGTATTCCTAAACCCTTCTAAGAAGGGAGGCGTTAGCGTTGCCACATGTTCAGACGAACCTCGTACATTTCTTTCCAGGAATATACGATGATTTTAATGGCGTAACGTCGTTACTTTCAAGTCAGCTGCCTTTTAACATGGTCTACCCTGCTTGATGACTAGCGAATTGTTTTATTAATGTTATAGTTTACTGTATCCAGCATTGCTATGTAAGCAAGATTTTACTGCGAATCGCCCTTGTTGTTTGTTGTTGTTTGTTGTTGTTTGTTGTTGTTGTTGTTGTTGGTGGTTGTTGGTTGTTGGTTGTTGTTGTTGTTGTTGGTTGTTATTATCATTAGAGTTGCATAAAATCAGTACCTACATGTGAGATCTATTCCTTTAGTATTTGGGTTTTTTAACAACGATTGTATGACCAGCCCCCTCTCCCCTTTTTTCTTGCCATTAATCCTTTCCAGCCTGCGCCGTAAACTCTCTCTTTATGAGAGCGGTTTGTAAAACTTTGTAGTACTAAGTTTTACAAACCGCTCTAATAATTTAAGGTTGGTGACACTTTAATGTCGGCGCTTGGACATCAGTTGCTAACAGAATTGAATGTTTATCGACCGATACCGCATGGACGAGTTGGTGAAACTGATTTCGATCAGCCGAAATGCTCTAGGAAATTTAACATTAGACATCAGACCGACGTTATGTTCGTTCTTACATAAACCCCTAATGAATTCAAATCATAAAAGCCGTAGTCGATTCTATGGCAAATATGTGGCCTGTTTTAATAACCAGCTCGTTTTTTCGCCTGGGACAACGGCACTTCCACGAGAGTATGTAGTATCGTGATCTTGGCCGTTTTAAGCCGTAAATGTCGCTCATGAATCCAAAAAATGAATCCAAAAAAAAATACAATTATTCTAACGTACGGCTAATTGTTCAAGCGTGGAGAATTCCAATGAACAGTAAATACAGATGAAGTGTTTTATTAACCCCATAGATGCTGACTGTATTCCAATGTGAGCAAACAAACAACACCCAGAATCGAATGAACGTTCCACAGCATATAACTAAACAGTCCTCATAGAAGATCTGACAACGTATGCCAGATCCAATTCAATTGGCAGCTCTTCACGCAGCCATTCGATAACAATATAGTCTAGTAAATGTCATGACTGCCAAATAAAGAAAGAGGAGTAGCTACTTTGCGACAATGCATTCTCAGATCTTAGCTAGGCCGTCGAATTCAATGCTGTATTAAGTACTACGTTTTTTTTCCACTTTTTTGCCTTCGTCATTAGGCATGCGGGCTGGCGACGTGATACTCTCGATCAATGGACAAGACGTCGAGTCAGTAGACCACAACCGACTAATCCAGATGATTCAGGCGTGTGGGAAGGCAATGCGTGTTGTTGTGCTGTTCGAAGACTGCGTTCGACGAGTAGCCCTTCACGTGAAGTAAGAACGCTTGCTGGCCTGAGTTACGCAATGATTAGTGATGAGCCCTGACAGTGAATGATCTTGGTACACAGGCAACAACATCTAGCTTGTTATATGACTTTATCAATCGTAGAAAATTGTTAACCATGCAGTCACAATTTTATTACCAACAACGAAGTTGTACATCTTGCGTTCGAATAAAATTGGTCATTGGCATGGGAAGTCTAATACCTGTATCAACTGGAAAAAAAGAGCAGTATTCTTACATTTTGTCGGAATTTTAATAAAATAAGCTAGCACCTTTCAGGTTAATGCAGTTGAAACGTTCATATCAACAAAAGATCCTTGAGTATAACCATTATGTAGAGGCCGAGCGCAATATGATCGAGACGTTACGAAACAAAGGTGTTAATACAGAACATCTCGTAAAAGGATCAACCGAGCTTCTGCCACTCACATCAAGTAGCCAAGACGTCCTCTTTCCGTTCCGGAAACTTTCAAGGAGCTTTAACAAGTAAGAAAAAGTATTTCAATGTATGCATTTGTGTGACATCTCATGAGTATTCAGTTATCTTTAGCCATTGTGACACGTTGTTTCTCATAGATGAACGTTCGAATAATGCTAATCTGTCTAACGTGGACGCAGTGTCGCCTCAGCTGCCAAGGTAATCTATTTTCGCCATATATAGGTGTTACGACGAGGACCTTTTCATCTTACGCAGCGCCAACAATTATTAATTATTTTGGTTGTTTCTGCACCTTCTAGACTAAGCGTATCGCATTCAAAATCTGAGTCGAGACTCTTGTCAGATTCAGCGTCGAACATCGCTAGCTCTTCAAGCCGTCGACCAACGCACCATCGTGATACTTCCGCGTCGTGTTCAACCCTACCGCGGCTAGGTGGGCGACGAAACTCGGCTCGTAGCTTGCCCGCATCAACAGCAGTCACTCCGGTGGGGTCCCTTGACGGACTCGAACAAGGTATTATTACTAATGATGCTGATGGGTGGTATTGCTATTGAATTCGACCGAAAGTTCAATTTCTTATCAAGGCCCAACCTCAACAAATCTGAGGTCCCTTGCCGGGTGATCTTCAGATATCTGACAGCGGCGACGTGACCAACCAAAACAACGTGGTACATAGCACTATTATTGCTACGTATCCGCTTGACGCAATACACGTTGTGGTAAATCTACTCAGTGAGATAAGTAAATTTGTGATGGGGCGGATGAGGCAGGGACGCTTGACACTGCCGTGCCTAACGCATAGTTTGTAAAAGTTGAATTTTCTGTTGACCATGACGATTACTACCCAGTATACGAAAAGGTGTACACCAAACGACGCCATAATTATCTTCGCGTATAATCAAAAATACTTATTCAATCAAGTCATCCTTTTTGATGCGGCAACCGAACAGCTTGTGCGACAGCGGCTTTGGAGATCGATCAATAGTTTCTGGCAACTCGACACCATCTCAGCCCTACGCAATAAGCTTCGTTCGTCGATCTTCATTGGTGTTGTCTACGAAATACTTAGTGGAGATTTCTTGTGGTCTTCTGCTCCGTTTGGGTTATTTGCGTCCGGTTCGTCGACACCGGATCCATTTTTAGATTATTTTTGCCATCAGATTAGACACTGTAGCGATCCGGACCCGTGCGAGGGTGGGCCTTCATTTTGTCCAGTTAATGTGACTCGGATTTCAACAACCCAACGCAGTTCTATAACAAACATTTTGTCCGGCTGTTGCCGCGCTTATGGCCGTGTTTGTTCAATCTTTTACTGGAAGTACTCCGTTAGAAATCATTGCATTACTCTCTCTCGGGTTGTAACAATAAGGTAGGTGGAAATAAACCTTTTTGGACATGAGGAAAAAGAAAGACAAAAAGTTCCCTTAGTTCCTATTGCATCATCTACTAATCCTTTGAGGTGTTGTAAAATTGACATCATTTTACAAAAAGCATTACAAGTAAAAAAAAAAAAAGACGCATCCAATCCTTCACCCAATAATGAAACTATGGACAGTAAGGAACCGTCATTATTTCCTCTTTAGCAAAGAAATCGGACGTTTTAATGCGACATTAAATTCGGTGACTATTTATTGATATTAGTATTCCACCAATAATACATCGTAATTCGTTTGCTTCCTAAAAAAACCCTACTGTGATCACAATATGGGTTTGGTACGATATAGATGATATTTGCATATGTAAACTTGAAACAGGAAATTATCATATTTTCGCTGTGCTATATTTCGGGTGTGTATATGGGTTCGTACATGTGAGGATTCGCATAAAGTTAAACCTAATGGTTTTTATTTATAAACAGAATGCAATAAGGACATGAAAAATATCAGCGAATACTTTGAGTTGTTGAGTTCCTATATAGATTTGCACAAAACGCTACCTTAGCAATAGCTTTTTATTATCAAATAATAGTCAAAATCGTCACTTTTCTGAACGGACATATTAAGTAAATGATTTCTTTGAAAATAAATAGTAGGTTGAACATTTTAATACATTGAAACGATAATAAATTGACATCATACATTATAAATTTGTAGATGTAGGCTTCTTGATGTTCTGATAAGAATATTTATATATTGCACATCCTGGCCAAACACCGCAAGTATTTTATTTGTAGACTAAATATGCGTATTTTTTAGAAAACTACATTTACATTAATGGTATCATTAATATTATTATGAAAGTGATTACTACTTCCATCGATTTTTTACCAATGCAGTAAATATTGGTAACATTTATAACATTTACTGACGAGATTGAAAACACAACAGTGAGCAAATCATCAAAAAAGGGTAGCAAACAATTTTTGTGGGCAAAAGCAACTATTGTTTAGTACTACTTTGAATGGAGATATTCAAAGTTAAAGCCATAAATTCACTCTGTAATTAAACGTTCCTTTAGTAGCCGCAGTTGAAATGACCAAGAAACATAGGTGCGTACGAACACCTTATAACTACGAAAAAAAAAAAAAAAAAAAAAAGGCTTTCTATCCGATGCCTTCCTGTTTTGGCGTTAAACTCCGGATATTTTCCTGCTCTTCTGAGCTTTCAGGTGGGGCCCACTTCAAGTCACATCGGACGTGTAGTACAGACTTTTCTGATAATGGCTCAACGGACGGTGGATTATCTTCAACCGAGGAGCTGGAAGACGAGGATGGCTCACCACCCCCTGCAAAGCCGCCCCTTCCGCCTAAAGCTAAAAACCAACGGCAACCAACGGTTGTGCCGAATCAAGGTAGCGATCGAGCTCAGGCAATGATTTCAGGAGTCGGATCAACTAGTCATGAGAGACCACCGACTTTACCGCCGAAACGCTCACAAACCCAAGCAACGTCACACCTCCGATCTGATGTGGTCACAAGACTTTAACTCCCCAATAGCCCCAAAGTGATGCGCAGAATAAACAACACTATATCAGTATCAGCATAACAAAACATAACACTGACGAACAACAATCGTGAGTAGAGCATCAACCTAATCAATACATAACAGTGGTTCGAAGTTTATTTTCTGACAACTCGAGTACAATTTTATAGAACGCATTCGTGCCCGCCAGGCCGCCCACCGCCGCCGCTGAATTTCTAGTGTGCAACATACTGCAGTGATACCTGCAGTTGTATATAACATTAAATGAGCATTAAAGAAGAGCACCATTGACGTTTTACAGCTTCGTTGCTCACGGTCGCAGACATACAAATATAGAGACACGTAGCAGGAGGAAGATACAAAAAACTGATCAGTCCGAGCGGTAAGGAAGGCTAACAGCGGGATAAAGTTCCATTTGTCAGCACAAATAAGTAATTGCACCTAAAGAAGTAGGCAGTAAAACGGAGTTTCCTTTATTAGTTGCATTTCTATTATTTCAGTCTGGTATCGTTGTTAATTGATATTTATTGTTGTTACTATTATTATTATCGTGGTTATAATTTAATCCTGCTGGCAATTTACAACCCCATAGCTCAGTTCATTACTTACTTTTTTTTTTGTTAAGAGCTCACCCGATTTGTCTGGCAATGCAGAACCAGTTGTTTTGTACCGCATTATTGCCGCCAGTTGAGAAAACGATTGAGAGTTTTGAAGTTTAGTTATTCAATTCAAAGATTCTTTCCCAGCTGCTGCACCTGGGACAGCTACAGCGGCCACAAAAAGGCATGCTTCAGCAAAACAATGTTTATTTATGCATCAACTGTACTATTGCAATTAGTGCTACGTCCTTCACCTTAGAGACCTCATTTATAGGCTACTGTTCGTGAATACAGTAATGTAGCGAAGGACAGTTTTTCCTGCTGACGTTTTCCAGGCACTCTTTTTCACTCAAGGTCAACAAAATCACAAGCCACATAGCTGCAGTTACAGCTACATATGTGAAATTGAATTGGCTGGTTTGCTTAACAGTACGCGAATATAAGGCATAGAGAACGCACACTATATGATTTTAATAATAATCATTATTGTTAATTATTGCACACTATATGACTAAATATTATCATTCTGTTATTGTTGTGCGTGTTTTTGTCGGTCGACTACTTAATTCATACGAGTTCACCATTTTAATTACTGTTGAATTCCTGCATTTTTTACTTCTACATATGTTACATATATGTAACAATACGAGCATGTCTTATGTATGAGAGTCTAGCACACAGTTCTACCGCACTCGAGGGCTATAGAGGAGGCATAGTTTTGTATCCAGGATCAGTAATTTCTGGACGCAAGCAACCGATTGAACTTGGTTTGCGTTAGCTGCCACTGCTTCCGTGCGATAATGATAATCGTACTGAGAAGAGATACAGGAGTCAATGAAGTATTGTAACATCATTGTATTCGATTATAACAGTAAGCATTTTGTTCATATATATATATATATATATATATATATCTACAAAGAGAATCTACGACACGACATTATTAGACAGAATTAGGATAGGAAGTAGATAATTTAAAGTATAAGGACAACAGGGCTTTATATACAGGTCTTCCGCCTGAATGATTGCATCGGTGAATATGTAAAATAATGGACTCATAATCAATAGCACATGGGGTCGAAACAGATAACATTCTGTCTGTGCATACGTGTTTAGACATTGATGAATATTGCAGTTGTATACCAGCAGTGCCGTATAGCAGTTTCATAACGTAGAGCTAATGATGGCGTTGATTGTAGTCTTTAAAAACGCTATAAACAGGAAAGAGCGTAGTTCTTTGCAGAGAAAGCAGTTTAGAACACAGAGGACATGTGATACACATATTTTTCGTCTAGTCACAGGATGAACGAAATCTAGCACGAGTTTTACGTAATCTAAGTGAGCTAAGCAGTGGTAGGTGACCACAGTTGAGGGTCTGAACGCGTCTTTGCATTTCGTATCGAGCTTTTGTCGTTTACCAAGAAACAAACGAAACGAGATAAAGCTTAATAAATGATGAAGTTTTATGGAATGGCAGAAGCCTACGGTAGCGATTGACAAGCCCATTTCAGTAAATGGTTGATTAGTCGGATAAGCGAAAAGAACGAGCTTTTGAATAACGGAAACACATTTGAAAGAATAAAATCACGCTATTTAGTTTGATTCAAGAGCGATCGAGAGGAAAATCAACCGAAGAAGGAAGGCTTGTGGCAAGCTGCAGGTTGCTATTGATGGCACTAGTGTGATAAATGGTTCCATACGCACTTGAGTTAGAAAGGAATCGGAATTTTGCTAAAACGTACAAAATAAAAGAATTTAAATACATGATGTCAAAAAATAGCCTGTGCATAAGTAAGGAAGGAACATACGTGTTAGTATCGATTAGGCGAGATACTCGACAGTCGAAATGCTACATCCCATAGATCTAATAAAATGCAATGAGAAAACTCAAAACTTATTGACCATTTTCAAGTCATTGCGCGTTTATTGTTTTTTTGCATGAACGTACGGTTGGTTTGATATGAATCTGATAACTGAGATTTCTATACACTTTTTCATACATCAGGGACAAAGAATATTCTTAAATACATGTATTTGATCTGTTAAACAATGATAACGATAGCCAATAACCTCTAGCTAATAATTTAATCTCGTAGAATGTCTATATCGACCTCTACTAGCTTACGGTAAATTAAAAAGAAGCGTAATCACTTCTGTGAGAAATTGACCTTAGCCAATGAAGTTCCTTGTCAATGAGGATAACTGCAATATAACCCATGAGTGGTACTTATTTTTTTAAGAAACTTTGACAATAGTCTACTGAAAACTCTGACTTCTTAAAAATTAGTTTCATGATTTGTTGACGCGCGTTTATAACTGTGCAGGTTTAAAAAATGTTTTAACTAAAGAATCTAAAGTAGCCAAAGGGAAAAAAAGGTAGAATTTATGATTTTTTTTTTTCATTTTTATTTATATATTTATAATTATGATAATAATAATAATTTGGAAATAAGTATTATCGATCAGGCGATTCCAGTATCAATCTCATGAAAGCCTCAAAAACAACAGTTTTAGTTCGATCATACACTGATGATCTTGTGCTCAGGTTTAATAGGCATGTTTCATCATGGCTTGAAATCTATTCTGCTAACCTGCATTTTTACGTATCTGAAGTAATTAGAAGGAATTGATCTAGTAGAAACAATACGTAATTTTAAAATATCTTCCGCCTGGTGAGGCTATGCCCTTAGCCAAACACAAAATATCATACATTTTTATACTAAATATTTAAAGCCAGAAACAGATGTAAACGGCACATTTATTGTTGCATCGATACGGCTTAAAACTGTTATAATCACATTTGACAACGCAGAATACATATTATACACGTAAGTTTGTTGACATTAATAGCTTTAAGTTTACACTAAACTGGCTACTGTGCCGTTAACGCTTCTTGACAAGCTTTTTAAAGTCGCTGCTCTCTGTGGGGACTGAGCCACTAGTGTTGTATCGGGTCCAGTGAAGCTCTTTCCAAACTTCCTCGTCTGCGGGATTTAACCTAAGAGCCCTTTGAAAGGCTTTTAAGGCAAGGTGAGGCTCTCCAAAAACTAACAAAGCCCGAGCGTGTGTATGGTGCGCCTCCCACCATAGCGGATTTAGCTTGATAGAGGCATCACAGCAACGAATCGCATCGTAATCTCGACGCAACTCCATGAGGATCTGGAAGTGGTTAATATAAGTTGTCAAAAACAATAATACAGTAATGTACTTGCTTGGTGACAACTACGGCAGTTGTATAGCCATAGTTCAAAGCCACTCGTAGAGATACTATAATTGTTAAGCGTAGTATCTATTAACACTGATTGCAACATTTAGAAACCTTCGCAACGTATCTAAATTGCTGCATTGTAAAAAAAGACGACAGTCCAAAAAGCGAAGGCAAAACCAAAATAAATTAAAGTTTAATTTGGAAAGGTCCTCGTGATTCAATTTAAAAACAAAAGCGTACCTGAGCCTTCATTTCGAAAACTTTTTCATCACATCTTCGCGCCAACAGCTCATCGATGAGCCCCAATGCAGAACCCCATAGTTCCTTCTGGCACATGGAGTCTATGCGATCGACAGTTATGCGAAATTCTTCATCGGTGATTAAGTTAACCCTTTTACGACTTCCGCGTCCAATATGACGGTTCGATGACACAAAATTTTTGTCGCCAACGGCCTGACCACGTTCTTCGTAGGAACGATAGTTCTTAAATTCCATGAAGTCCATCGGAACAGTGTCCTCCTCATCATTGTCATTGGAAATCCAACACGATACATTCAGACGAGGTGCCCGTCTTTTCCAAATTGAAGAACCCTGAACTGATGACATGGCAGCTTCGACCACCATAATGACGTCGATTGGAAAGACTGATAAATGTTCCACTACTTTAACTAAGTATCTTATCAGAAGTTAAACAAAAATCAAAAACGTATGTGGCTTGAAAACGAGTATGCTCAGAGTGGAATTTTCGCATGTGACACAATATTTTCGGGAGGCCGCGGTATAGAATAAAAAAAAGCCTTCTTGTTAAATGGATCATACTGAAATGCAAGCCAAGTAACCTTGTAAATTTGTAATCTTAATCGAACTTTCAAAGATTTGTAGGCAGCTACTTTTTTTTTCTAAGTGCATACCGTGCTGTCAGGAATAATTATCAGGACAGTACACTTCGACACCCATGCCTCAATTTTCCGCACACAAAAAGGCAACACAATTTATTGTTTTCTAAATTTCTTGTACATTTTTGTCATTTCGAATCACAGTATACATTTTAGGGTCGTCGGTTGATATTTTATAGGTAGCCTTTAATTGTAAGAAACGAATGGTCAAACGTAATATAAAGCTCACAGCATAGAGCTCAAAAAAAATTTCGTGGAACTCCAAAGGCTTATTGCTTTGTTGAGACACGGAATCTTCGACCCTGACATATACGTGAATCCGAAGTGGAAATCGGTTTGGCCTTTTTAAAACTTCCTTCTCTAGGATATCCAAGTTATGTGTGTGAATCTAAGCTAAAAATTTCGCCTTTACATATGATACTGCACCTTCTTCGTTATTTCCCAATCACTCTCATTACACAACCTTGTTATTAAAGGAAAAATTCTCAACAAACAGAACAATTCACAATATAACACCACCCATCCTCGACTAGCTAAGCCAGCACTGTGTACAGGGGTAACAAGGATGTCACAGGTGCATACTGAATTAAAACAATCGATTTGCGTAGCAGTTTCGGCACTATACCTCGTAATTTTCAAGAAAAAGCACGATAAGTGTTTACAGTCACCGCCCACTAATTAAATTACGGATACAGTAAAGACTGAAATTTAGACGCCATTGTTACTGTCTTAAATTGCCTCTAAAGTCCTATCTTCTATAGAAATACCAAATACAGCCTTTTAATATAGCTACGTGACAAACACAACTTACAGTACCATTTCCATTTTCTACACTTGGCTATATTTTTCCGAAGTCAATGTTTCAGTTACATGAAAATATGAACTACGTTTCTATTTATGAGAAAGCACAATTATTTCCAAACAAGTCTGGCTACTATCGTAATATCGGGTTAGAGATTAAGCCACGGGAATAATAACAAGACAGCTAGTTCTTTAAAATCTTCACTAGTGTGTTAAACATTTTATACCAGAACATGCCGCCCCCTATTTCGCGAAGTATACAAAATAGCAAACAAAAAATAACATCACCACCATTTGTAATTAGAAACCAATTTTCAATAATAAAAAAAAAACAATAAAAAAAAAAAGAAAAAACAGTTAGCCATACCTTATATTTCTTTTAGAGTACTCGCCAACGCTGGATCTGTACTTATTATAATAAATAATTTGGAATTTTAACGCACGAATACTCACTAAACAATCTTTGTTTTTGAACTATCAGCTGGTTATGCGACCCTCTCCATAAAATATAAGAGACGGCACATGCGCAACATTGTCAGCCCAGGAGAGTAGGGAGTTCAAACTTCGCGGGCTCCGCTTTTCTCTCCTTTTCAAATTAATTTGCAAAAGCACAAGGTCAGCAATTATGTGTTAATTCTGTCATCGCCATTATAAATGGAGATATGAGCCCACATGTTAGTCACGAAACTCAATAAATCGACAAACGAATAAAGGGCCTTAACACGAAGAGAACGGTCCGTCAGAGTGGCCGCCACGTTGATTTGTGGGGATTCAAAAATTAAATTCTCGTTGTGTAGTATTTACTGCTACCAGATCTTGTGCTCACTGTTTAAGAAAATTGAATCCTTTGTGCGCCATGTGAATTTCTGAGATAATTCTATATCTCTAAAATAAGGTGACCCTTATTAGTTAAAAGTGATTCAACGCTAGTCTCCGCTGAAGTAAGTTTTTTTTATCAACGTTTGCTTTGAAATTGTCCAGACTGCTAGTAGAATCCTATGCGTTACACGGTACGTTCGGTACTCTACTTTTTGGCAGATTAGTTGTATTTTTTCAAATAAATGCAATACAAACTCGTGTATATATGTTGCAAAGAAGCATGAGATTAATTTATCGTTCTTACGGCAGCACTGCTACAAGCGTGTACAGTACAGATTCCAATTTTAATAACTCAATAAACATCGGCCTACATTTATGAATTCAACAGACAAACATCACGTCCAAACATTATTTTGTTACTGTAAGCACAGGGAGATACTCTTCATAAAACTGTAACCACTTAATTTTAGTTTTAATTGTAGGTTGTAATTCTTATTGCAGTGTTTTTAGAAAATAGACCATTTGCAACAACACTCGTTTGGCTTGCGCAGTAAACATGGTAGCATAAGGCGAAAAGGTATACAAGAATAAAATTATGAGCCCAATAGTATACCAACAATTTAGTGTATTTCTTAAATGTTTATGGTAAATAAAGCTGAAATTGCACTAACGTTCGATCCTCGTACTTGCGTAACTTTTCAGATGGCATTACGAATTGAGGCAAATCCAATTTCGGGAAGCTGCATTGTAGAAAAGCTGCACGCTGATGGAAGCATCGCATCTCGCCAATCGTTTCGTAACGTCACAGCTTCAATTTGTAGAAATGCTTTGAAGGACGTTATGGTGAGAGATAACGCTTTAACCTTGACCCATGATCATGTTGTGGTGTTCCGGTAGCTTTTCAATACTGCTTGAGAATAGGGCTCTTTTTTCAAGCATTGTCTCCTCTATAGAGCAGAACGTCGTATCAAATAGAGCCCCACGTAAAATGAGATTGCTATTGTGCACATGAGCGTCTATAAATGCATAGATATGAAACCGGGTTATCCATACAAGGATCAAAATACTATCACAAGAATGCTCACGCTTAGACTATCCTAAGTCATTATTTGATCACTTTTAATTTGATGACACACGTTGCACAGAACAATTCAATCGTCATTATCATTTGTCTTACAGAAAAACCAAAGGGGTTATTCTTAACCATTTTTTTCTACTGAACCAGCTTTTTTACAGAGTAAATTTCTAACAGGTTGGTGTGTCTTTTAGGTGCGCATAGAAGCTCAAAAAATGGCAAAACTGCTTATACTTCCTATTGTAAGCGACAATGTGACTATTCATCGAAAATTCGTCAAAGATGGCAAAATGACCCTAGCTTTCAAGAAGCAGCTAATCCGGGTGATGTTTTCAAACTGTGCGGCCAGCACGCTGTCAACTTTCGTGAAAATGCTTATTATAAAAACCACTGTAATCACACCAGATAGACCGAAAATTGCCCTGCGCGAGAAACAGCTGCAACAGAATCAAGGAATAGAAAATATCTCACCCCTGCTTGTAACCCGTGGTGGTGCTTTGGTTCGTAAAGGGGGAGCCTCTCCATTGAAAACACCGAACTCGAAACGAATTAGAACAATCAGTGCAAACGATAAAGAGAACTGCGGTCCCGTAGGGCGCATGTTACACGCGATGCCGATTTCTCTCTCTAAAGAACAACGCGAAGTTTTGGCTTTGGTGAAAAGTGGCGCATCTATATTTTTTACTGGTTCTGCGGGAACCGGTAAGACCTTCTTGTTGAGACGAATTATCAGCTCACTTTCGCCCAATTCTACGTTCGTTACCGCGAGTACCGGTATTGCTGCCAGCCATTTAGGAGGCTCAACAGTGCATTCTTTTGCCGGTAGGTCCATATAGCAAAAATAGCTTTCATTCAGTAAATAGTTTATCGCAAAAATGGTTTTCTTTAGCGTATGGTTCGAGTACACTGTTAGCGCTATATTTTGCTGCTTGAAGAAAGTCATAACTTACTTGCTATGCTCCAGGAATCGGCTTTGGAGGTGCAACCGTTTCTTCTTTAGCAGAAAAGACCCGTAAGAGCCCTGCAATGACAAACTGGAAACGATGTCGACATCTAATTATTGATGAGATCTCACTGTTGGATGGGACTTATTTTGAAAAACTCGAGGCGGTGGCGCGTATCCTTAAGAATACTGACAAGCCGTTTGGTGGAATTCAGGTTATCTTATCTGGAGATTTCTTCCAGTTGCCACCCGTAAGTAAAACAGGGCAGAGAAAGTTTGTGTTCCAGACCAAATGTTGGAACGACGTTATAAACAAGATCTACGAATTAAAAGAAGTTCATCGACAGAAAGACCGCCAATTCGTCTCAATCTTGCAGGAGATTCGCATGGGAAGGTAAGCTAAGGTTTTTTCGCCACTACTGAGTGCACATTTTAGATACGCTGGTGAAAAAACTCAAAAAAGGTTTACACGAAATGACTGTGAAGCTATTTTTGGCGAATCCAAGCTGCTTACGGAAAGCTCTCTAACACTTTATATCCGTTAGTCACGGTGTGGTTATTTAATTATGCGATTACCATTGTAACGCAAAGTTTGACTCCGCTAAAGGCACAAGCTGCTATTTCTATATTCAATTATAGTCTGCTCCTCAATTTTAGGTGTTCTGACGACAGTGCCAAAACCCTAATAAGTACTGTACTAAACAAGGTGGACGGTGATGGAATCCTTGCGACAAAACTGTCAACACACAACGTCGACGTAGATGCCCTCAACGAACAGTTTTTCAGACGGCTGCCGGGAGAAACGAAGGTTTTCAAGTCCAGCGACTCTGTTGAAAGCATGAAGATATTTCTAGATAGTCATTTGCCTATTCAGGATGTTTTGCGCCTGAAGGTTGGCGCCCAGGTTATGCTAGTAAAGAATACGAAAGTAGCTGATGGTTTGGCTAACGGAAGTCGGGGTGTGGTAACTGGGTTCGATAAAGTTGGACTGCCTATAGTTAAGTTCAGGAGAGGAATTACAACGTCGATCGGACCTGAAAAATGGACAATTACTGGATCAGGAGGTGCTTCGTTCAGTAGAAAACAGATTCCACTCAAGCTGGCTTGGGCTATGAGTATACATAAAAGTCAGGGCTTGACACTTGATGCAGTTGAGATCAGTTTGGCCAAGGTTTTTGAGTCGGGGCAGGCGTATGTCGCCCTTTCGCGTGCATCAAGCTTGCAAGGTCTTAAGGTGCTTGATTTCAAGCCCTCAGCAGTCCGCGCCGACCCACAGGTCATCGAATTCTACAGTCGAATCAGTCGAAACGGTGCCTAAGTTTGCCTGGTAAACGGACCGCTGACGAAGGGTGACATGGGCTAAGCAAAAGCCTAAGTAAACATTGTACGTCGTTGTGCGAGTACAATACGGGTTGTGTCTCTCATTGTTCGTGCATCATACTGACAGAACGTTTAGTAGTGTGGCCGTATTGAGCATACAATTCACTGGATTAGGAGGACAAGGACACAGGATGGATTACAGTCGATTATACAACATAGGAAACGTATTGGCACGGCTTCGACAATCGAAGCATAGAATCATTACAAGTTCATAAGTCATATCTCCCCATCATGTACATATATACAGGCTTATAAAATAATTACTGACTGGTCTATATGAGAAAAACAAATAGAAAGCGCTAAGTGAATGAATTATGGGAAGCGTTCGTCTACGCTCTTGACTCTTTTCCCGTATTACGTATTCGCGTACTGGCAATGAACTTCCAAGTGTGCAAATTATATGGACTTAATCATATATTAGAAGGACATTTCGACGAGAAAATCACGTTAAAGTTTTAGGCGAAAGCTAACTAGGGAGGAATTTTCTCCTACATACGTGTAGATTTACAACTTACATGCGACAATTATTGCAATTTACGTGCGACATTTATTAAAACTGCCGTTTTCAATCGCTTTCACTTAGAAATGATGAAAATTTATGAAATCCGGAGTTTCTATGTAATGCAACAAAATTCACTGATGGTTATGTTTTGCACAATACATACTGTCACAAATAATCATATAAAGACGAACACTAATAGTCATCGCAACGGTTGCTAATAAAAAAAAATACTCTATTAGCTTATTTTTACGTGAACGTATCTGGTTTTTACTTTGTTTTATTTGATTCTGCTATCAAACAAATTGGTACTTTATTGTTCTCTAAGCCACTGGCATAATCCAAATCCGATCTTTGTAGAAAAGTGCATCACATCGTTTCACACAGTCGATAATTTTGCCATTAAAGGTAAATTGGCATTAGTAGCCATGATAAACGATACGTGATTCGGTTCGAACCCACTATAAGCTTGCTGCGGAACTCACTTTGGGAGACGCACCCACGGACAGAAATTGGTTATTAGCAATGCTATTCTCATTCAGTTGTTTACATAGATTGTGCCGATTAATAAACACAGGCCACAGGGGCTACAGCATTGCATATTGTTATAGGAGCATCGCTTTTCTAGAACAGTACGATTATCCTAACATCCGATCAAGCCAAAAAAGTTCTATGGTCAACAGTAAATCATATGATTTAGCCACAGACGCCGGTAAGTAGTGAAACATAGCCCTCATATTATGAATTTATTGAATCTGATGATTATCGAATTCGTAGCATACAATCAACGAGATGAGAACGACAAGTGTTATCGTGGGTGCTGGAAGTGACGGCGCGCAATTCTCAACCGCATCCACCACGACCACAGCGCTTCTTCGTTGGTCTCCAACCGCAAGAACCGCCGCTTCCCATTAACGGATTGTAGTCATCACCCCTCAGTGATGAAGTACCTGCGTTATGCGAGCTGGGCGGTCGCGCTTTGTTTATGTCGAGCAGACGCTCCTTTCGTTCAAGTTTCTCTTTGCGTTTTTGCTCTTCTCTCTCCTTTAAGCACGTACCACCAAAAAATAGAAAATGAAAAGACAAAACAACACAAAACTTAGACAGTAGAAATTAAAATTCCAACACGATACTAACGGAACTGTCAGGCCTAATCTATAATGTTTCTATGAGCTCATTACAGCCTTACGGATATAGATGAGAAAGAGGACGAAGCAAACGTATTCTATCAATTTTCTGCCAAGTAACTACAATTTACCTAAACACAGCTTTATAGTATTAAGGAAGTAACTAGACAGCAATAATTGTATCCATCATGATAGAACGAAGTCTAACATTTTAGGCGATTATTGTTATAGCCATGTGAATCGTACGATTTCTCTATAAAAGCGTGAGCAAGGTAGAAAATAATCAAGCCAACTTTTATTGAAAACATAGAAAAGTTCTTCCTAAGGAAACATTGCAGTGAAGTGTATATATTACGCATCATCGAATCAATGTCACAGATGTTTGTAAATAATAAAGGTCATACTACTTGAAACAGAACTATATTTCAATTTATATAGTTCTCCACTCCAAAAGTAGTCAACCACTTAACTGGTTTAGATGTTTCCTTCCACTATTACAAAAACAGCAGTTTTGTTCCTGCGTCTGCCTCAGATACACAAAGCAATAACGGTAGTTTGAAATATCCTCGTAAATAGTTTACCGTTCACTTTTATATCGTCACAGGGCGTTTTTTGTTAATTAACTATTTAAATCTGGTGGACTGTCACGGACAACCTAAGCGACAGTGGGGTACCCAAGTCAATGATAGCAAGTAAAGTTTGCTAGGTCATGTTACTCTATGAAATTATTGTATATTTTGTAGCTTGGTCAGTGGATTTACTACAACTCTATTGCCTACTCACCTTCATTTTAGCGCGGTTCACCTCGGCATTACGTTCCGCTTCTTCGATTAGACGTCTTCGAGCTTCTAAAATGTGTCTCCTTTGAGCATCGTCATCTCCCGATGTATTCTGGGGGGGTAAGGTAGCTCTTTCCGTTCTGAATAATCCAAACATAAATCCACTAGAAGGCATGCAGAGCCTATGTGATGATTTTTTATAAAGGTACACTACGAACAAAACGACCCCGATAATGAGCCATTCTCTAGGCCCAAGAAGCCCGTCAGCCTCTTCGCCGTAGTCGTCCTGCATGGCGGTTCTTCTAGTTCATTGCAAGAACCAATTCAAACACTGAAATCACCATTCCTATATTTGATCAAAGGCTAATGGCAGCTCTTAGTATAATCTGTGTGGAATCTAACCATGTGGAGATGACTAGCTTAAATGTGAATTGCGGTGTAAATAAGTTCACAAATGGCAAAAGACTCCAGTTGCTTTCCTGATCACCCACAGCTGACTGCTGGCTCTGCACAGGCGATATACACACAGTAGTACGTCGGATCAACAAACGTCAAATCAGTTCTCCCGCTAAATTTGGCGGGGAAAATGGCCAAACGTCAGTGACTACACGCATAACGATCGTGTTTTTTTGGGCAAATTATGTTCAGGTCTTTTTCGGTAGACGCATCTTATCTACTTGGTGGCACGTGTTGGCTGTTCAAGCAGTATGCTGTTTTCGTTGTGTATTTTTTTGGTCCTTTTTTGCTATATTTGTTGAAGCCAGTACTTCGGTGCAGCACCGATGACTGCTAATAGTAAGAAAAGGCCGGTAATCAACGGAATGCAGTCACCAGCGCTACCTGATTGTCGTAGGCGGCTATAGGATTTCAGTCTGTCGTGTTCGACTTGCGGGGCGGGCTCAGCGAGACAACAGCCCAAATGCCCAGATTGTTCCACGTGCTTTTCAGCTGGGCTTCAGTCGCGTCGGGTTATCTTCCAAAGGCGTTTCTATTCTTGCTGATTATTGTACTGAGCGCCGCTCACGGGGTGAGTGCTTTACCTAGATTTGCTGACAGATATCCGAAACTATTCCGTGGGAATTGCAATGAAGTGATTGGGAACACCAAGTTAACAGCATGTAAGCAGTATTTTAACAGAATTATGCGCGTTGTATGTATTAACGTGTGGAAAACTACTCAATGTGTTCTCTATATCGTCTGTTACGCTCGCATAGAGTTGACGATATCATTTAGATGCGTCACGTGGGCACTGTGTTGTAAGTTTTATATTCCAATGGTGATTAATGTACTTAAAAACATCAACAACTTAACATATTTTTATTATATGGAAAAACCTTAAGCTGCCATAGAATCATATTCGGATATGAGACAATTGACAGCATCGTTGCAGGGAGGTAATGAGATTAATCACGGCTTGCTTCTGGTTTAGCAGACCCTGTAGAAGATGGGTCGTTCGAAATCGAAAGTGGGCAATGGCAAATCTACCATTACCGCTAAAACAAGCAACAGTGGCCAACAGCTGACATTTAATACTGAATTGGGTCAACATATCCTCAAGAACCCACTTGTCATTCAGTCAATAGTCGAAAAAGCAGCAGTACGGAGTACCGATGTGGTTCTCGAAATCGGTCCTGGTACAGGTGAGCAGGCAATTAGGTTTGATGTAAGGCTTATTAAAATCGAAGAACGTTTTTTTATGGATGCGGGATATTACCTGAAGCTATGCTCGATTCATTTCCCGGTGTCTCAATGGAGAATAGACTCAGGATAAATTTAATCAATGGAGTATTTTTTCCATTCCACAGTATTTGGAAATAATTTAAATAAATGTGGAGTGCAATAGATGTCAAGCTTTGCTGTTGACTTTAGTTTAGTCACAGAGATTTTGGGTACATCTTAAATTTATGCTTAAAATATCACTTAATGAGTTTTACTTTAATTTACTTTAATGTGTAAACTCAAGTAGAGGAGAAAGAACAGATTTTGCCTTGAGTTCTCTGAATAACATGTTTAACTGTTTTTTTACCAGGTACGCTTGCAGCATTTTTTTATACATACCTTATACATACCTGAATATGCGCGAACTAGCAGTTTGCTTGGGTACTGTATGTGTAACATCTGCGTCTTCAATTAATTGCTCCGCACAGGTAACATGACAGTTCGTCTCCTAGAAAAAGCCAAAAAAGTGATAGCCTGTGAGGTTGACCCCCGGATGGTTGCCGAACTGCAGAAACGCGTACAGTGTACTCCACTTCAGCCCAAGTTGCAGATCATTGTGGGCGACGTCATCAAAAACAACCTTCCATTCTTCGACCTTTGTGTGGCTAACATGCCCTATCAAATATCGTCTCCCTTCGTTTTTAAGTTGCTTCTCCATCGACCATTCTTCCGCTGCGCCGTTCTTATGTTTCAGAAGGAATTCGCGGAGCGATTAGTCGCCAAGCCTGGAGACAAACTATATTGCAGGTGAGGCGACTGAAGGCGACTTATGATCATAGTATGGCAGGCAATGGAATTTCAGTGCAAGAAAACTTAATTATAGTAAGTTGTCTCGCATTTAACTCAACAATGCTTAACAACAATTAATTAATGTTGACGTCACATATGTTAGGCGTATTGCAAAATTTGACGCTTATTTTTTTTGTCATTTTTTAACATTTCAAAGGTTATCGGTCAATACCCAACTTCTGGCCCGGATTGACATTATAATGAAGGTCGGCAAGAATAATTTCCGACCTCCACCAAAGGTTGAATCTGCTGTTGTTCGCCTTGAACCTCGGAACCCGCCCCCGAACATTGATTATGCCTCATGGGATGGTCTGCTCCGGATTTGTTTTGTTAGGAAAAACAAAACTCTTTCGGCCAGCTTTAACCAAACTTCAATTCTTCACATGCTTGAGAAAAACTATATAGCAGTGGCCGCACTGAAAGGCAGTGGTGGAATTCCTACGAACTTTTTAATCAAGGAGCTAGTCAGCGAATGCCTAGGTGCCTATGCACAGAAACGTGCCAGACAATTAGATCTCGACGACTTCCTTCAGTTGTTGCTCAACTTTACGAGCAAAGGTATTCATTTCAACATGATCTAAGTCTGTTATGATCTGAAGGTTATATTAGGCTAGCTTATGGAGATTATGGCGAACGAAAAATTATACGCGCAATCATGCACAACCTGCTGCAATTCCAATTGTGTCATACAAAAAAGTTCGTTACTCCCTGCGGCTACCACTTCATGTGACCATTCGTTATGATTCGTGTTGTAGATCTAAGCAGGAAGCAAATTAGAGTGAATAAATACAAATACCAGGGTTGCTGTCGACGTTCTACTTGTACATATGTTTGTGTTTATTTACATTTACAAGTATTTGTATCATGTATTATTCTTATACATACATTTAAATTATGGGTAATATTACGATTAATAAATATAATAAAAGACTCGATATTGCTGTTACTGTTGATTGTATTTTAGATGTGCACATGTGGGTGTTATCATGAAACTGCTAATGGTATCCATTACACGAACCATTAGGACTTACAGCTTAGATAATCTGCAGTAAAAGAATATGTCAGAAAGAAAGGACAAGGGTTCTACTATCAAGCTTTACCATAACGGGTATAAGGGTATGAAGTAGATACAAGAGTTAAAACCAATATGTTATCAGAGTGCGCAGAAGGTCGCAAAATCAGCTTGTTTGACAATACTAATAGAAATACGTCATACCAATCGCATCGCTAGAAGGACCGTCCAGTCTTTCATTACCTGCTTTCATAGGTTCTTTTACACCGTGAAGGGAATTTAAGGCGGCAGTCGACGGATCTGAATTTGTGAAAATGAAAGAATGAAGTTTTGCCATCCGATTATGATGTCGTCCCAGATAAGAACTTATGATATTGACAATTGACGCGACGAATGTAGAGAGAGCGGTTTCGCTGCTTGAAATAAAAGTCCTAGCTTTTCGGAGTGACTATTTAGGCGTTTTTAGCCGCCCTATAAGTATACTGTTCAAAAGGATAGAGCATATATGAATTCACGTACTGTACGTATCCGTATGACATGTTGATGCTATTTTACTAGGTCTAGCTATTGCATATTTAGAAAAATATTTGGGTTCACATATTTACTCATTTCAACTTCTTCCGAGCATTCTCACACGTACTATCCTCTACACCTGACATATTTTCAGATTTATAATTGTTCTCAGTAGAAGGACAAAGCCTTGAGTATCTTTATCAGAGTGTTTACGGTGTGAAATATCGCGTTTTAGTATTAACTGAAGAACTATCATTGCTTGCACCGCAACAGCTGTTTGTGAGTAAAAAACTGTTTCTAACTGTTTGATATTAGATATTGAGCGTTTGATTTGGCGTGACTTTGCGTCGAAAACATCCTCCTTAAATAATAATAAATAATTAGTGGGGATTTTCTGCAACGCATCTTACCTTCATTATTAATAGAGATTAAATTATCGGTATAAAACAAGTATTGATATTCAAACCACGCCTTAAAAATGTAGACAGTTTTTATTTTTGAATTGGGTAGGTTCTCTTATATACGGTAGGGATATATCTTAAGCATGTCTGTCTGAGGTCAATTGCAGGCCCAAAAAAGACCTGAAATTCTGGTATCCTGTGAGGCTATGCGGTGTTTTTAGATCTGTCCATCTTTGGGTTAGTTGCGCCTCGGGCTCGTATTTATTTTCTTCCTATTAATAGGACAGTGGAGTCGGTAGGCAGAAAATAACGAGATTAAAGTTGATTGAACCTGATTTCAGTGTAGATGTATCTGTGTGGAACGACAGAATTTTAACAGCTGGTGGAGGGTTTTTTACCAAGGCCGAATTATTATCATGATTATAAGCCAACATGAAGAGGATTCCTTAAGACGAATAAGCGCGAATTGAGATACCGATAACGAATTTGTAAAGAGGCCACACACTCGCAAAGAGAAGAAGTTCGTACTGAGCGCAGGGTTCCGAATATACGCATATTTTTTGCAAAGCCTACTTTTTGCGTGTATTGTTTCAATTTAGTAACTTTAGGCAATGTAAAAGGATGTGAATCTGAATCCACGAGGCAGAAATTATATGTGTGTACGGTATTTAGCTCCACGTGTCTTGGAAACAATAATTTCAAATACTTCAAAAGTAATAGCCTACAAAAGCCACAACTTACAATCTTTCAGAAGTAATCATTGCAAGAGGCAGTACAAGAAAACGAAACAGTCGCTTGTTTACCTATACATTTTGAGTTTCACATTACCCTGAAACGAGATGAATTACGCACGCATAGCAGTATGTATAACCACAACTCCTCATAGCTCCGTAAAAAAATTCCTGTTTGCTTAAGCTGGAGTGTTGAATGAATTTCTCCTTAACGCTCCAAACACAGTCGCAGGAATAATATTGATAGATGTACTAGATCACCTAAGAAGCACAGGGGAGTCAATGCCATCTGAATTTTTCCCCGGAAATTTCAGTTTTCATTTGATCCCCATATATACTAACAACTAAAACATAACGTTTCATGGGACTCCAAAGAGTTAGCGACTCTCCGGAGTGAGAGTCGCTAAAGAAAAAACAAATGTTTTTTTGCATTTCCCAGTTATCCAGAGTTTGCCAGCACCTGTCAATAAATCCAAAAGTTCGCGCCACTTACGTCGTCTGCTTGCTCCGTCGAGTCCAACTAGCTGCCGTTTTTGGTATGTGCGTCATTTCCGACAACTCCTAATACACCGATCGGCAAACCAACACATGTACTTCACCGAAACAGATCGTTTAAGGACTCCGTTGTTATATTTACGTTCTATCCTGGCTTTGTCTCTCTGGCAATCTATGGGCAAGATACGCTGAGCTTTGACGATGCTCGTTATCGACGTTGATGACTATCCGCATATGTGATGACCCTATACCTGCTCGAGTAACAGTGCCTAGCGAACGCTACTAATGCTATTCTCTGCTGCCACAAATATCGTTGCTTAATTTCTCTGTGTTCACGCGTGTGTGTGTGTGTGTATGCACGCGTGTGTGTGTATGTGTACGTATGTATGTATTTGTGTTGAACGGGTGATAACCTATTGTGTGTGTGTGGACAGAATTACCAGGGCCCAGGGTTCTTTTGCTGCACAACTGCAGCCGTTCTTTTGGAGGCCATTGTGAGCCCCTCGATTTATCGGGTATGTATCCACAGTGCTACTGGCATTCTCTGCTAGTTGTCGCGGAACGGTTACACCAGTAGCTAATTAGTGGTACAAACTTGTGAAGATTTGCAAGACACCGAGCGTCCAAGGACCGCCAGGCCAGAAGGGGTACGTAGTCGTGGTCTCCAGAGGTTGGCTAACTTCTTTAGATATGCGGTAGCTTCTACTGTCGTAGGAGTTACGCCGCCTCTGTTATTTTGTCAGGTGCTATGGCTCTCGTTATGGCTGTTGCAAAGTCGAGCGTTCCTTGTCATCGAAACAGCGATTCAGCAGCCACTTTGTGAATACTGACAGTGTGTATTTACCCGAAATTTCATTAGAGTACGAATTACTACTGTGCATTATATGCACAGGAAAATCACGAAAAACGTTATTCAATTCAACAAATCCGACCTGGCTAACTGTCGAGTGCAATAGACTGGGTGGCGTAAAGTAAATTCGCCTGTGGCGGTGCCTTATTACCATTTGTATTATTTTTATTATTACGCTATAATTTCTCTCCGTGACGCGCTAAAAAAATTGTAACAGGCAGATCGTTTGTCAACACGGCAATGCAAGTTATGAGACATTGCTAAACATTGATATATCAAGCCAAAAGATCTGTAGTTTGTCTGTTTGATAGCAAATTCTGAAGGGTCTGATATAAAAAGTAATAACTCACTAGTTCTCTGAATCTATCGGTATCTCTATCCAAATATCGTATTTCTATATCATAATAGTTACTGTCTATAATACTGGTTTGCGGTCGGAATGTGTCGCAGAAAGACGAGTAACTGTTCATGAAACACGTTTCTGTTTTTATCAGGAATGGGTAGCCTTGAATCCTTTTGACGACATTTTGGTATTTGTTGAACTCTAGGAACTAAGCTTTGTCTCGGTCAGGATAATGGTAGGAGTTTGGAGATATATAAACCTCTGTGCGGAATTTTAAAACAAACAACAATAAATGTGTGAACTATTAATGGGCAATAACTTCGTAACACATATATGTGTCACACAAATCGCTTCGTGATTCGATGACGGTGTGGTTCGTCGGCTAACTAGAAAACGCCGACGATACGATTTTAGTTACGGCAAAATAAACACGAGAACAGTACGATAGAAAGAAGTTCTGCTATGTACTACGACGAAGCTGTTCCTCGCACTTTTTCAATTTACTAAAGTCTATCACACTGTAAATGGAATTAAGATGAGCGCCTTATTTACACCTTGCTTCTTAATGTGGCTTGTTTTATCATTGGTCGCCCCATTTGAACTTTGCTTTCCGGCAATTTGAATGTAGTCTTTCGATGCTGAGTTAAGGAAGAACCTGTGTATATGGTGTAAGCAAGGCTCTTCTGTGCTAAAGGGCCTTGCGGCTATATCCAGTTCGGTAGGATTTATCCAGAATGTATTTCGATGCCGTATCATCGAAACCTATCTGATGATCAGAGTTTCGAGCAAGTATGTTTCTGAAATAGAGTTTCACTAGATGTGTATATACAAACGTTCGATTCGCGGGTATACATTGGTTCAGATCGCTTTGAGTAACGTGCAGACCATTGTCTTCGTCGCGGTTTTCGGGTTTCGGTTACCGGTAGAAACTGTACTATCAATTACACGGCTCTATTGATTAGGCACATGATCGTGGGTCGCATTCATTTGGATCTGTGATTCATCATAATCACCTGAAGGAGCACTTCGTTGTAGCAGTGGTTACCTGATATAAGAAATAAGTATGAATAAGCCAATTTTCGCTTCGACCAAGTTTGCTAATTGATTTGATAACCCTTCCTTGCGACCGGCGGACTTTTCGATATTTTGGGTTGGTTTTTTGCAAAGAAGAATTCCTTCTCAATTTCATATCTTTGTTGATAATAAACAAACCAATATCCGAATAACTTCGCTAGAAAAATTTGTTAACATCTAGACATAACAAAATCAACATTTTTCTTAAGATAATAGCGTAAATAGTGTATAAAGTGATCATAATTATAGAATTTAGAGATATATGCCTCATAAATGTTACGCAAGTTGTTAACATTGCGACTCTTGTAGGTCCGTAAGTGATTAGCTCGCCCTCTACTGTTGTGATTGTCGAAGACCCAGCGTATAAATAAAAGTAATTTGTAATGATCGGACCATATTAGATAATTAAATAAATCCATTGGTCTTTAGCAGTGGCAAA